TGTTGCACGATGGTAAGGAGCTTCGGTGGACATCCAAGCCTCGACAAGATCTTCCAGAGCCCGTCTCGGCTCACGGTATCGAAGGCTTTGGTCAGATCAATGAACGCCGCGTACAGCCCCATGTTCTGCTCTCTACACTTCTCTTGGATCTGACGCAGTACAAAGATCATGTCTGTCGTTCCCCGATTGGCTCTGAAGCCACACTGGCTCTCTGGTAGATTCTCCTCTGCAATAGTTGGGATGAGTCTGTCCAGAACAACTCTTGCCAGAATCTTTCCTGCAATGGATAGTAGTGTGACTCCCCTGTAGTTGGAGCAGTCCGATTTCTCCCCTTTGTTTTTGTAAAGTGAGACAACGATGGCGTCACGCAGGTCTTGAGGCACCACTCCTCTTTCCCAGCAAGTGTCAAACAGTCCAGTGAGTCTCTCAAGGAGTGAAGCCCCACCTAGTTTGTAGACCTCTGCTGGGACTCCATCTACCCCAGGAGCCTTGTGGCACTTCAGCTTTGAGATGGCTGCTTCCACCTCCTCCTGTGTTGGGGTGTTGTCCAGTTCTGTCCTCACTTCATGCTGTGGGATTCTCATGATGGACTCTTCGAGTACTTGGCGCCTGTCCCCAAAGAGTTTACCGTAGTGTTCAGTCCATCGATGAAGAATGGCTGGTTTATCGGTAAGTAGCTGACTACCATCAGATGATCTCAAGGGGGCCTGCGTCCTCTGAGTAGGGCCGTAGATTGCCCGCAGGGCTTCATAGAAGGCCCGGATGTTACCCGTGTCTGCAAAGTGCTGTGTTCTTTCGGCTATGCTGGTCCACCATGTATTCTGCATCTCCCGCAGCTTGCGTTGTAGAGTGTTGCAAGCTACCTTGTATGATGCTTTTGCTGCCGGATCATCTGGCTTGAATAAGACTTTCTGGTGACAAGAGCGCTTTCTTTGAAGTAAAGCTTCAATTTCAGGGTCATTCTCATCAAACCAGTCCCTATTCTTCCTGGTCGAGTAGCCTACCACTTGTGCTGTTGTTTCCTGAAGAGCTGTTTTCAGCTGCTGCCACTGGCTCTCTGGGTCCTCCTTCTGCCACTGACCCTCGTCTCTGCTCAGCCGTTCATCCAGCTTGGCCTGGAATTCTTCCTTCAGACCCTGTAGCCTGTCTACCTGTAACCTCCTCATCTGTGGACCTTTCCGCTTTACCGGTGGTTTAACGGAAAGCCGCAACTTTGCTCTGACGAGGCGGTGATCTGTGTAACAGTCGGCGCTGGGCATGACGCGCGTGTGGAGCACATCAGATACATCCCTCTGCCGTACCAGGATGTAGTCTAGCAAGTGCCAGTGTTTCGATCGTGGGTGTCTCCATGTTGTCTTGAAGCGGGCTTTCTGTTGGTATGAGGTGTTGGTGATGCTCAACCCCCTTTCTGCACAGAGCTCGAGAAGCAACCTGCCATTGTCGTTACAGTTACCCACTCCGTGCCGTCCGAGAACTCCTGGCCACACCTCGTGGTCCCTGCCCACTCTGGCATTAAAGTCACCTAATACCAGTAACTTGTCAGTTTCTTTCACGTTCGTCAAGAGAGATCTCAGATCTGCATAGAACGCTTCTTTAGTTGCAGGGTCCGCCTGGAGAGTCGGGGCGTAGGCACTGATGAGTGTAACAAACTGGTTGTCCCTCAGTGGCAGTCGTAGAGACATCAGTCGGTCAGAGTGGCCAACTGGGAGGTTTTGTAGCTTGTTGGCAATACTGTTTTCTACCATGAATCCAACTCCTGACAGTCTGCGTTCCTCACTTCCTTTCCCTGACCAGTATAAGGTGTAGCCGGCCCCTTGTTCCACCAGTGATCCCTGGTCTGCAAAACGCACTTCACTGATGGCAGCAATGTCAATATTCAACTTAGCAAGCTCTCTGGCTACTAGAGCTGTGCGCCTTTGAGGTCTGTTACTTTCTGCACTATCCTGCATCGTGCGTACATTCCAGCACGCCACCTTCAACAATCCTGCTTTCATCATTTTCTTTTCTTTCTTACCGCTTGGATGAGATGCCTGTTGGCCGCGGCGAGCCAACCAGGTAGGTGTGAGACAAGCGATTTTTGAGCCACCTTTTCTAGGCCCATCTCTGTTCAGAGCAAGCAGCGCTAATCCTCAAAAGGCCTGCTTGGTCACTCGGGGCGCTGCCGAATGCTGCTGTTGTCTCGGTCAGCAAACAGACGACCCATGTTCCCGAGCCGCCTACATGCAGATTCAAGACTGCGACTTCCAGTGCCATCTAGCACCTGTCGTTTCGTCCCTCCTCCATCGCTGTAGGACTTCCTTCCTGCCTGCGCTCAGTGGGATTATAGTGAGGATCGGTCCGCGCCAACCGACCCCACTCTTTAGGCCCAGGGACACTCCACAGTAGCTCAGCAGGCTAAGACGGCTGTGGCGACCACGAGGCTGTAGGTTTTACCCGGACCCTTCCTTTGGCGACTATCCAATCTCCACCCCCTCATTCGAGGTTACAGAGTAGGAGTGTTGCACCTACCCCAGGACTAGGAAATTGGTACATTCGGGCCCTCGCACCGCGTCAAGGCGGAAGGGTCGGGAGCCGGTGTTCGGGCATCCCAGCGAGGGTTAACCCTAACCCTAACCCCCCTCAAAACCCTAACCCTAACACCTCCTGAAAACAGGGAAACCATGGTATCATTGGAAAGCCCTTCCGGTCAGAAGTTCAAAACTGCAAACCAAATGTCGATATTCCTTCTCGTTGCCGAGATATTGCTATTTAAAGTTAACCCTAACCCTAACCCTAACCCCCCTCAAAACCCTAACCCTAACACCTCCTCAAACAGGGAACCATGGTATCATTGGAAAGCCCTTCCGGTCAGAAGTTCAAAACTGCAAACCAAATGTCGATATTCTTTCTCGTTGCCGAGATATTGCTATTTAAAGTTAACCCTAACCCTACAATTTTTATGTCGTTAGGACGTAATATGACGTCATAATGACGTCATTAATGTGATTTTATTGGCCAAAACCGTCTAAATAGGTTTTTCCCTAAAAACTAACTGGTATTCAACATAACTGTACCAAAAGTGTTTATGACAGAATATTATGGTGTACTAAGTCTTATGTTGCCCATAGCAACACCGGTGACGTCATAAAATAACGTCTTGCATATTTAAGATATCCGCCATCTTGGATCATAAATCTTGAATTTTCAAAAATATTTTTTTTCATGATAAAGCCTAAAATACATTGTAAACATACTAAAGACCTTCATTTAAACCTTTTTTTGTAAAATTAGAAAATGGAAGTATTGATTAAATTTTAATGAAAATAACCTGTATATACCTG